AAAAAAAAAAAAAAAAAAAAAAAAAACTGAGAAAACCGATGTTAGCTATATAATAAGGTTGTTTAAACTACAAGCAAGATTGAAGTAGATGGAGTTTGTTAGGAAAAAAAATATGAGATTTTTATGTTAGTCCTACCAAACTAAATTTCAACAGGCCACAAAATGATTAATGGCCAGTTATTTTAAACTTGAAAAGGAGAAGAAGGGGATATTAATGATGTAAATGGAGTGTGCAAATTAAAGTTAGTGACCAATTTGTGTTAGGTTGGAAAGCACTTGACTTGAGATTGTTTACAAGCCAATTCTACAGGAACACTACTTTTATTATAAAATCAGTTTTCACATTTTATTATCAAATCAGTTTTTTAAGATTTTGATATTTCTTGATGAATGTATCATCCTACACAAATTCGTTTTTTTTTTTTTTTTTAAATTTAAAAACAAAAATATCATTTTGGATAATTTTGGTTCAACTTATTTGTTTCATGCTTGAGCAAAACATTTTATTGATTGCACACAAATTAAGGTTTTCCTCATTGGGACAAATTACTGTTGAAGGCTTTTCTATTACCTTGTGAAGTAGATAATCAATTAAACCTTGATTGGCAATTTAGAATAGCAATTAGTTCATACATCAAAACTATTTTGGAGGTCATGAACATGCAATGTCCTTCCATCTAATTTCAATGCTTATAGCAGAAAAGAGCAAGAACACAAATATTCATTTAAGCTCATTTAATTTGTTTATTTCTCTATTATTTATCTTACACTAGTATTCGACCACGTGCATTTGTATAGATGTAAATAAGGTATTATAAATTATTTGTATGCATATAATAGTAAATTTACAAGTTAGATAATGGTTTTATATTTTAAACATAGAGTATTATAAGTTATATATATATACATATAATATTAAATAAGTTAGATAAAGGTACTATGTTTTTAAATTCCATCATTGATTAAAATAATAGTACATAAAGATTTAATTGCATATGAATCACTATATAATTGGTTGCATAAAAATATAACAAATAATGTAATTTTTTTTTACTATAACATTAAAACAAATTAATTTATTTCAAAAACAATCAAATAAAAAAAATAATATTAAATTTAGAATAAATAACTTGAACAAAAAGTTTTTGCAATATAATTTTTATGTTTATTTAACTTTCATATATCATTTAGTGTAAAATATAACTATTAATTTTAATAATAATAATTATATGATACAATAAAAAAATATAATTATTATTCTATAAATATGAAATGTAACATATTAACTCAAAAAAAATCCAAATAAATATTTTATCATTAATGGGATATGGTAGATTAATGTAATAATAATAATAATAATAGTAATAGTGAATTGTAACAGTTATTTTATTAGGAAAGTGCTATATAGGTAAAATTTGTTAGATTTAATTTATAAATTTTTATTTATAAGATTTTTTTTAATGATTAGCTAACAATTATATATATATATATATATATATATATATATATATATATATAGTTATGCTTTTTACTATTAACTTGTGACAATCTAATCCATTATTTGTTTAAAAAATGTGCATTCTGAAAAGTAAATAATTTGTTGTTGAGTAAATTATAGTCAGTAATGTTCCCCTACCTACGGTGGACATATGTTAATATGTCCACCGTTTATGTGGCATGCACACATTGGTGATATTAATATATTAAAAAATATATCACCAATATGTGCATGTCACATAAGTGGTGGGCATGAGCATTACTAAAATTATAGTATATTGATGACTATATATAAATAAATTAAGAAATGCAAAATATATAAAGTTGCTTATATAATTCAAGACAAGAACGAACTAATTATGCTGTAATATATATTTTTTTTTCCTTTAAATCACCTCGGTTAAGAGAATAAATATTTTCAGAAAATAAATCTGTGGCCCACAACTTGATGGGAGTATATGCTAATTATCCTTGGAAAATTATATTATTTAAATGTCTTTTTTTTTTGGTACAAAAATGTCTTTTAAATACTCTTTTTAAACTAAATAAAAAACACCCGTACAAAAAATATTGTGTTCTTCAAAATCGCGCCTCCACTATTTGGTTTTCGAAAGAGAAGCCTTTTATTTTCCAATAAATACTCATTCTGTCCTCCGTAACTGGCGCTCACTCATTTCAATCTATTTCTCTCTCTCTCTCTCAAACTCCACACTCACACTCATCTGCTCTACTGACTTATTTATTCCTTTACCTACACATACATACATATATTATATTTTTACTGGAACAGCAGGTTCCAGGAAGCTACAACACGATGGTGCTCAGACACGGCGGCAGCGGTGCCGGCGGATTCCTTGCCGGAAAGCAGGTGGTTCCGATAAACTATGAAGCTGAGGTCTCGCAGCGCCTTCTGGAAGCCTCATATTCTAACGATCTCCAGTCGGCCATCGAATGCCTCGCGGATCCGTTGGTGGACGTGAACTATGTCGGAGCTCTGTGCTTGAAGATTCCCAAGGCTTTCCTCCTTTTCCGCGATGAATCGCCCACCCAAGTGTCTTTCCACTACGCGGACCTCCCTACAGAGGCTACCCCTCTCTTTGTTGCTGCTACCCATGGAAATTCGCCTCTCCTGAGGAAATTGCTGGTACATTTTTGTTATAGTATCTGTTTGTTTACTGCGGGATTTCATACTTTAGTGCCGATTATCCTGTTTTGCCTCACTTTAGCGATTGTAATTTCCAAAAATGTCTCTTCTCCCTTTTACCTTTAGTTTGAAAAAATGAAAAAAAAAAAAAAAAAACAAACTGAGAGGTCATTTGGTTTTGGTGCTTGTTGCCTTTTGGAGGTACAGTGATCTCTTTTTTGTGTTTGTCTTAGTTTAAAATTTGGAAGTTGAAATCTCATCAAGTTATTGGTTCTGATTTTCTTTTACATGTGACATTCTATGTTTATGATATTAGGAGGTCTGAGCTTATTTTGATTTGATCTCACTGGACTGAATCCTTTATAAATACAATGTAATATTTACAGTTTTTATGTATTTTTGTACTGTAAAAGCATAGATCAGCAATCACTGTCTCATTGGATTGATCAAAGCTATTTGAATCTAGCTCAATGAGTTGAGTTTTTGACCTTTTACCATGTCTGAATTAGACCAACTCTTTTCATTTTTTTAGGAGGATAGCTAGCAGCCTAGATGTAAATATCATGATAGGAGTGAGATTTAGGTTCTATTGTATATTAGTTGTTCATGCAAATTCTATATGTATATTTGAATAAGCATGTTCTAGTTCATCTAATTTATTGCGTGATTTTACGAGTATGGTGTATGTATGCAATGTTGTTCTAATCTTGTCATTTTTTCTGAAATGAAAGAGCGCAGGAGCTCATGTGAATCTACGACTATTCTGGGGATTTGCAACTACAGCTGCTGCTAGGGAGGGACACTATGAGATCCTGGAGATCCTACTCAAAGCTGGCGCATCTCAACCAGCTTGTGAGGAAGCGCTTTTGGAGGTCTGCAGCCATGGGTATTCGCAGTTAGTGGAGCTACTGATGAAATCTGACCTTATCAGGCCGCATGCTGCCATTCATGCTCTTGTCACTGCATGCTGTAGAGGTTTTACGGAGGTGGTGGATACACTCATGAAGGTAAATAATCACAAAACATTTTTATGTGAAACCTACATGTTATTTTCTACTTTAGATTATCAGAATTGGTGGTAAAATAAATGAACCAGGAGCTTGGGTCAACACAAATAAACTATTGAACATTTTTTATTTGTTGGTGAGTGCCTATGGTTTTTAAGATTCCATCCTTAACCAGGTAATTAGGTTCGCATGGCCCATAAGCCCATTTGTATATCATTCTGATTTATATTTTTACTCAATGACAGTGTGGCGTGGATGCTAATGCAGCTAGTCGCATTTTGCTTCAGTCACTTAAGCCTTCTCTCCATACAAATGCCGACTGTACTGCGATTGTGGCTGCTACAGTTTACCGGCAGATTTCTGTGGTCCACCTACTAATGAGGGTAAATTCTTGTTTATGTACCTTGGTGTATAGATTTTTGGGGTTATATAGAGTTGGGATTCTTGTATTGGTTATACCATCCGCCACACCTTGTCGATTCTGATTATTAGTTTAACATGTGGAGATTTGCACCACACAAAATAGCGCGTGGTCTTTGCTACTCTTGCTCTGAATTAAAATATGTCATTTTTTATTTCCTTTATTTTTTTTTTCAAATGAAGGCCGGTGTTAGCACTGATGTCAATGTACAACTTGGAGCGTGGTCATGGGATATTGCCACCGGTGAGGAATTTCGAGTGGGAGCCGGGATGGCTGAACCTTATCCACTCACTTGGTGCGCCGTGGAATATTTCGAAGCAACCGGATCTATTTTGCAGATTCTTCTTGAGCACACGTCCCTTGATACTCCTCATAATGGAAGGACTCTTCTTCACCATGCTGTTCTGTGCAACAATAATGGGGCTGTGAAAACTCTTGTGAAATGTGGTGTTGATCTCGAGACACCAGTGAGAACCATAAGAAATAACGATTTCCGTGCCATACATATGGCCACTCGTCTTGGACTGCCAACGATTCTCCAAACTTTGATTGATTCTGGCTGTGATCTAAACTCCAGGACTGAAAATGGCGAGACGGCTCTAATGATCTCTGTCAGAAACAAGCGTGAAGATTGCCTCCAAGTACTGGCAAAGGCAGGTGCCGACTTTGGTTTGGTCAGCAAAAACTGCGAATCGGTGTGCTCAATCGCTAGGTCCAATAGGTGGTACATTGGTTTTCAAAACGCTCTGCTCAAAGTAATTCGTGAGGGGACTGTACCCGTGTCCACCAACAGTGATGTTTTTGCATCTCTGTTATTTGTAGCCGAGTCGGGAGATGTTGTTGGGTTGAAAGCTCTGATGGGATCTTCAGACGATATCGAGCTTGACGAACAGGATGGGAGAGGCTTCTCGGCTGTCATGGTGGCTGCAAAGGAGGGCCATGTCGACGCTTTCCGGTCGCTCGTTTATGCCGGGGCCGATGTGAGGCTGTGCAATAAATCGGGAGAGAGTGCAATGACGCTAAGTAAAAACAGGTTTGCCTTTGAGAAAGTGATGCTTGAGTTCGCCTTGGAGAAGGGGAACCGAATCGGGGGAGGAGGTTTTTACGCATTGCACTGTGCTGCGAGATGCGGAGATTTGGACGCGGTCAAGTTGCTGACGAGCAAGGGATATGACGTCAATGCCTCGGATGGTGATGGCTACACGCCCTTAATGCTGGCTGCGAAAGAAGCTAATGCCGAGATGTGTCGACTACTATTATTATCTTGTGGGGCCCGCGTGGGGATGAAGAACGCCAAGGGGGAATCAGCTCTGTCGCTCGTTAAGGAAACGCTTAACAAGGAGGCGGAGAATGAGATACTTAATGCGCTCGGTCGAGAGACTGTATTGAGTGGTTCGCATGTGCAGAAGCATACCAAAGGAGGGAAAGGAGCTCCACACGGGAAGTTCTTGAAAATGGTGGGGTCTGAAGGGATTCTGAGTTGGGGAAAGTCGAGCTGTCGGAATGTGATTTGCCAAGAAGCGGAGGTAGGGCCGAGTGAGAGTTTTGTGAGGAACAAGGGAAGGAAAGGTGATGGGATGTTTCACGTGAGGACGAGCAAGGACAAGGAAGTGCATTTTGTGGTTGATGGGGGGAAGGAGATGGCTGAGTTGTGGGTGCGGGGAATAAGGGTTGTGACGGAAGAGGCTAATCTTGGCAGTCAGCAGATGTAGTTAGTAAAAGAGACTTTGATTTGACTGACTTGCTCTCGTTCGTTGTAAATTCTTTTTTTTTT